CCCCCCCCCCCCCCCCCCCCCCCCCCCCCCCCCCCCCCCCCCCCCCATTATATGAGACACACACACGAGCAGCGTACGAAGAGGACGAAGGAGAGAGAAGAGGAAAACACGCGCTGGATGACGGAGTGTGTCGAATCGCTATTTTCATAGATGTAGATTGATACGCCGAGATCGTAGAAAAATATATTTCTCGCATCGCCGGAATACTTCTGACATCGTGGAATGTGATTGCGCACGTTGTACACATATATATGTAGCGGATAAAGTTAAACAAACAAAAGAAAAATGAAAAAAAAAACAAAAAACACAGAATACTTGTAAATTAAGAGAAAGCGAAAGGGGTGGAAAACCCGTGTCGATGACGTGTGCTGTATGGCTAAAAACGGGAGGTTTTCGGGAACGAGGAGGATATATGTACAGATATAGAAGATAGGATCGAACGAAAAGCGTATACGCAAAGAGAACCCACCGGGAAGAGTAACCGGACACACACGGACGGAAACACGCCTATACACACCAGCTAAGAAACACTGCCAATACGATTGTAATTAAGAACTCTAGGCTAATTGATCGATTAATTATTCTTACTATTATTATTATGATTAAACGTGTAATCCGATAGATCTCTAGTTTCCGCGCGGATGTGTATGAGAGAAGCGTGTCTCGCTTGCACCTGTCGCGCGAGCGCGCTGATTTTCTTTTGCCGCGACCAACGGACGGAGAACCCAAATTAGCGACGAACGGCGATCACGAGGGGTGTACATAGTTAGTCGAAATTATCGATGGATCCCTGGGAAACGATAGGGCCACCCGGGGGATCAGCCTATCAGCTTGCGACTTCAAGCGAGGAGGGTACTTCTTTTTAATCCGGAACTCCTACGTTTCGAGCGACCACGTGCTCGCGGAGAACGACGCGACGATCGCGATCGGTGAACACGGGCACCAGAGAAGAGCGATCGACGCGAAACGGAGAGAAAAAGGAACGCGTCACTGCCAAAAATCGCGCACTGTCAGCCGTCGTAATCGCGGTAGCCGCACACACCTTAGAGCCTTATTTCCGTCGCGCCTAATCGCGCGCGCACGCTTCTGTGTTACTGATTTCGAGGAGCGTGGATCGTTCTTCTTCCTACCCGCGGGATCCGCGCGGTCGATTCTTGTCGATCGTCTTCGAGAGCGTGTACCGAGAGCGCGCCTACTGCCAATTACTATAAGTCGAGGGACGCGAACCAAGGCACTGCCATCGAAACGTAACGGTGTGAAAAGGCACACTTTATACGTGTGAATAGGGTGTTTGTGAGATACAGGTGCAGACTTTAGCTCTCGCGAGAGATGGATGTCTTCGAGAGATTTAATTTAGGTGTAATCTGTAGTAGGAGTGATAATAAGTATGTGTTAGAGAGAGAAGGTATCACACTGCCTGTCATGTATATACATACATTCGTACCCTTAACTGCTGACTTCATTTTATATAAGTTTTACTATTAATGTTGCAGAATTTTTATTGGTAAACATTGAACTGTATTAATTAGAAATTGCATTTGTGTTTGTGTCGTTTCGAATTGCATTCACTTTTTATATAAAAAAAAAAATTACATCAGTCGAAACCTTAATTAATAAAATGTACGTATTTATACCGATTCCATAACATTAAAATCAATAATTTATAGAAGCACTGCCAACCATTCATTTTCACTCGCTCGACGAGTTGTATCGATCCAAACAGTCTCGTACCTGTGATTTACAAACACCCTGTGTATACGTGTGGATATATATGTGTGTGTATAGCTATATCTATGTATACGCGCATCCGGTCGTTGAATCGTAGATGCAATCGACCGATTTCGTTTTGCGCGCGCGACTCTTCTGTCTGTTTTCCTCTTTTGTTTTCTTTTTCTTTTTTTTTTTTATTAATTGCTCCGCCGAGACACGGTCCCTTTTTCTTCGTTAACGATAAAAATCTTTGCTTTTCCCCATTCTCGTTTTCTTTTGGCATATCCCCTCAGTGCCATACACGACGCGTCCCCGTGTGCTGCGCGTTCCTTGTGATTTCTCGTGTTCATGTTTATTTGTGTTCATTGACTTATTTCGTGGCGCGATCGATCGTCGTTCCTCCCGTTCCACTGTCGTCGCGTTAGATCCCCCGTTAGATCGTCGAGGGACGTAGCTCGATCATTAAAAATTAAATAAATTAAGGTTTTATCACGGGTGGGACCAATTCCTCGCGCGGCGTACGTCGTTTTTTTCCTTTCCTCGCGCAAAGAGACTTCTTTTTTAGGGAAATCATTTTTTTTTGTACATTCAGCGGTTAACGAAACATCGATCTGCCGTGTAGGTTATTTAGTTAGAAATTGTTAAGTTCTATTATTAGTTGCCGCGGTTACGGCGGGAGAAACCTTTTTGGACGTTCGATCGCGCTTGATCTCGTGGATGGTGAATCGCGGAGTGAAATTTTGGGCGAAACGAAACTGCTCGGGAGCCCTCGGGAATTCTAAAGTCTGATCTCTTCCAAATTACTCCCGGAAATTTCGGTTCCGTTACTCGCGATCGAGCTAGCGACGTTCGATTCAAAAGACTGCCCGTGACTTATACAAACTTTTGCGTTTATGGGATACATGGAATATTTTGTAATTTCTTCGTAAAATTAATGGTTTGTTTTAAATTTGTGTTTGCTCTTTGATGGGCGAGGAGCGTATGATGTGTTGTATACGAATGTTAGATAGTACAGATTTGTTAACATTTGTATGAGGAATTGAAACAAAATTTATCCTTTTTTAATTGCTCACTTCCTAGGACTCTAATGTTTGTTTCATGTTCGAACTTCTTAGTTAAAATTAGGGACACTTTAGCACCGTCTAGAGAAAGTGCTTTTTTTTCTGTTGCAAGGAAATTAGATTATACGTATAGTTGATGCATAATTTAGGTATAAAGATTCTCCATTATTATTAGGGCGAAATGGAATAGGTGCGTTTAAAACTATTCGTGTATACAAGAATGGAATATAAAATACGTTCTTTTCTTTGACCTCGAAAACAGCGACGTTAGCTCGATCGACCAAACGAACGTTCCGTCGCTCTGGACAAAAGTCGCGCATTTAGCGAATAAAATGTTTAAGTAAAAGGAGGCAAAACAACGAGACGGAAAGAAAGGGGAGAAGGACGCAACGTCTCTCGATTTCAGTGTAACCATCCTACGCTTGTTTCTTTTCCTTTTTTTCATCCCTTAATTCGAACAGGAACGCGCTGTAGATGTCCTCGTTTCCCTAATTTTCGTTGGAACCCCTTCCCCCTTACCTCCTTTTGTATCAAGGCGTAAATCCGTCGCGAGAACGCTCCATTGACCTTTTACCCGCGCGATTCTACGCATTAAAGCAGTAAATGTATATTTTAGCGAGACGTTGTAAAGTTTTGCGTAAGATAACTTTTAGAGATATCGATCAGCAGGAGCGTAGGAGGGACTCGGTCCGAAGTGGCGCCGCCAGAGACGGCCAGGATTTCGTTCGAATAATAAACGACGAATAGAAGGAGCAGCGATTTATTATCAGTGTTTGTCGAGCGGTTATCGAGGAGGGGTTGAGATCGTAGGAATATAATTTCATTTTGTAACTAAACCTGTAATTCTAGAGAACAAAGTAACTCGAGTAGCAGCTTCTTGAAATGGATTCGTCTTTCCGGGATAAGAAATCTCTGCCCGTCTCTGGATTCGAGGAGGAATTCTGCGAAGGCCTCGTGGCCGTTTCTTCGGTTCCCGATGTCGACACTTGTACATGTGTAAAACGTGTGAAAGATAAGGGAGAGAGCTTACTGTGTGAGAGGAATTACCGAGTGCGAGCGAGAGAGGGAGAGAGTACGTTGTTACAATTATAAGAATGTTTAGAGTACCCTGTAAATATAGGAGACACGATCGATAAAACGGGAAATTGCGATCATCGGGGCTTAAAATGAATCACAGAACAAAGAAACGGCGGGCGAGAAAGCGTGAGAGAAAGCGAGAGAAGGGAGGGAGGAGAATGCTTTTGGTGGACAGCGTATTTTTGCAAAAAATAAAATTAAAGTATTAAAACATTATGGATGAACGTTGATAAACGATTAAGCGGAATAACGAAGGGATCTTTATCGTTGGAACTCTCTCCCTCTCTGTCGGGGGTTGAACCCGTCTATCCTTTGATTTTGCTCTCTTTCGAAGGAGGAATTCGCCCCTGTTTTCGGCGTTTATTCGAGAAAACAAACGTCGCGTCACTGAATGATCGCTTTGCGAGGAGATAAGCAACTTTTAACAAGCAGGGAGTCATTGGTGTTTGGTGCATCTTCAACAGCTGACTTAGGGAGTTGATATCTTCTCAGGATAAATGTTACAGGATCCTGATGCGAATGTACGTTGTATCAATTAAGCTTTCAATGGATGTCAAACCCTTTTGAAAAATAAGAATGGAATAAACGGAACTAGAAGTGTACAGAAATAAATAGAGTCTAATAGTTCAGTTGTTTATAGATCTGTAATAATAAAAATTTTATAAGAGAAAGTGAATTTTCAATGAAGTTCAATAAAATACTATACAAGAATTTCGTTAAGACAAAACAGGGATTTAAAATATTTCGGAAATTTTTCAGGAAAGTGTTTGTACTCGTTAATCGGACACTAGATATAGCACTTTAATACTCAATTCTCATTCAGTATTGCTATTTCTTAGAAGAGGAGTTTTTACCAATCGAAAGCTTAATCAATACAGTGAATACGTTTACATATAACCACCTCCTGTATTATTCTATCTTAGACGCATATCGATGGTTCTAAGACACCAGCGAGAGTGCAGATCACCATAGAACCATGGAACACCGGAAACGATGCTTTTCTGTTTGACAAATTCGAGAAGGCTGACGGTTGCTCGGAAAGGAAA